AATGAGCATAGAATTTAATTTGCCCTTGACAGTTCATGCTCTTAATTAGCTCCAGGTTCATAATGGTAGGCTAATTCAAGGAGTATTTAAAATGGAAATGTGTGCCTGCCTATCATGCTGAAAAAGTATAGAGCATCTGACTAACACAATATGATATAGCAGGATGGATGAACTTTGAATTTCCCACACATATTTCCTTGGGTTTTGGAATGCTCACTGAGGCAGGCATAGCCATCTTAAGCACATTTTCTGGGAATGCACATCGTACTTGGCTGTATCAGTATGATCAATGGAACTTTGAAACATAATCAGATTTTTTGGCACGGCAAATACTGTGAAGTGTGTTGTTTTTTTACATACCAGAAGTGTGTTGTTGTTTTTTTTACAGAAGAACCTGGAATTGGCCTAACGTTAAACCAAAGCTTGTCTTACTTTGGCATTCTAGGTACCTTCTTTCTCCCCACCTCCTTGTTGTGCTTTGTTTCATTTTTTTATTTGTTTTTGGTTCACCTTGACATGATGAAAATTGCTGCCTGTGGTTTAAATCTACAGCACTGGGACGTGGTTTATGAACATGTGCAGGTTACATGGGTATATGTGCAGCCTGGGATGTCCCCGGACTGTGGAATATTTACTTTCCATTGTGTTGTGTCCTCATGCCCTCCAATGAAAAGTGTAGTTCCAAACATAAAAGCTAGCCCGGATAGGAGGTTGTGTCATCTTTCTTATACACGCTCATCCTCTTAGTTTTTGCTTAACCTCAAGCTCCAGTGCTAGCAGTGTTTCATTTTTGTCTCAATTAGAGCATCCAGGTGAGAAATGAAAGATCATTCGAAATCAGATTTTAGTTGTAAGTTGTTTCTGAGTTATTTTCTTAATCATATTAAAACCCATAAATTCTTTGTGCTAGACTTTCCCTGTCATCAGTGAAGATTCTAGGAGATTAAATCCTTCTGAGTCAAGGAGTTGCACTTTAATAATTTGTAGTATGCAAATCCTTGCTGTTGGAGGTTATGATCTTGGAATAAGACTCTTAATGCTGTTTTATGTCTACAGATCTTATTTTAAACAAATCTATGTGGCTGGACTGCAAATATTTAGAATTCGGCTTACATTATTTTATTTTTGTTTATTTTTGCCATTTCTTACTCCCCAAAATAAGAACTTACACTACAAGGCAGCTTACACTAAATTAAATAAAAATAAGTTCAATTCAATAATGAAAAAGTCAGCTATTATCATATGTGGTGGATTTGTAGAGTAGCAAAACAATATTGGATAGAAGTGCATACTGTGTTATTGGGATGTTTTAAAGGACAGAGCCTGAAGCTGAGGCTCCTTTGGCCATCTTATGAGAAGAGAAGACTCCCTGGAAAAGACCCTGATGTTGGGAAAGTGTGAGGGCAAGAGGAGAAGGGGACAATAGAGGACAAGATGGTTGGGCAGTGTCATTGAAACTTCCAACATGAATTTGACCAAACTCCGGCAGGCAGTGGAAGACAGGAGGGCCTGGCATGCTCTGGTCCATAGGGTCATGAAGAGTCGAACACAACCTAATGACTAAACAACAACAACAATCCCATATCTATAGGGCAACATCTCTAGGGAGCAATAGTAGTGGTTGTGTGATTCTCCCTTCACCATTAGTCATTAATATGTTTCCAGGAGAGTAAATCAAATTGATTTATTACTTCATCTGAGAACTGGAACAATGTCACTCCAACTTTGTTTTCATTGTCCGCTGGGGGAATTGATATAAACAGATGAGATGTTGTACATAATTATAGAAGGATGTTGACAACCTGGAATGTATCCAGAGGAGGGCAACCAAAATGGTCAAAGGTTTGGAAGCCATGTCCTGTGAGGAGCGGCTTAGGGAGCTGGGAATGTTCAGCCTTACAAAAAGAAGGTTAAGAGGGGACATGATAATCATGTTTAAATATTTGTAGGGATGTCATATCCAGGAAGGGACAGGTTTGTTTTCCGTGGCTCCGGATAATAGGACAAGGAGCAGGAAAAGAGATTCCACCTGAATCTCAGGAAGAACATCCTGACAGTCAGAGCTGCTCGGTAGTGGAATATGCTGCCTCAGAGTCTGGTGGAATCTCCTTCCTTGGAGGTTTTTAAGCAGAGGTTGGATGGCCATCTGTCGGGAGTGTTTTGATGGAGTTCCTGCATGGCAGGGGGTTGAACTCAATGGCCACTGTGGTCTCTTCCAACTCTGTGATTCTATGATTCTATGATTCTATATATACAGTGGTTTTCCCTAACTTCTTACTGTCCAATTGGCTTCTGTGAGCCACAGGTGGCGCTAGGGCTACAATGTATATTGTACTGTTTTAAATAATCAGTTAAAATACTGTATTCTGAAAAGATTCCCTGATGGATCTGGCAGTAGTTTTTTAAAGCATACCTGTTTTAAATATAGGTGCATCAAGCACCATCTTGGGCGGGGGGCAGGGGGAGGACAAAATTGGCTTGAGATTTGTGTAGACAGAGGAACAGTATCATTCCAGAGGGCATTTCCATAGACTTCTCAACAAAGTCAGATGAAATGGTTAATGGCGAAGATGAGCACATATGAAAGGATTGTGTAGTCTTTTGTGATCATTATATCTCTCAATTTGATTACCAGATTTTGATGGAATGTTTGCACTGTTTCTTCAGAGCAAGAAGAATTCAACTCAGTATGTCTTAGGAAAATTCTGGTCAGTCTGAGGAACTATTGGCTAACATTATTTAAATTGCTCTCCACAGGGGTGAGCAGCTTCCTGCATAGTCTAATCTAAACAATTTGGACAGATTATTATTTAAGTGATAGTCCTGACTACTTAGAATTAGTGGGTCAATCTGGAATGCATTTGGGTCACTGCTAGAAAGACAGACAAAATACATTTCATTATTTAACTATTTTAAGGGCATTGAAGCCATGTAGCAGGCTATAATTGCAATCAATCAACTTATCACATTTGGTTTTTTATAACTTGCTATCAGATTTAAGGCTGCATATTGCAAGTTTCTACAGTAATAGTGGCTGATATGGTTGTACTTAATAATCAGAGATTTGATATATCTATATTTTAGAATAATAATGTCCAGACGATGTCTGAGTTGCTATGCTGGCAACAGTAGCTTTGCACAAATGGTATGTAAACAAGCATGAATTCATAACAGTTTATCTCTTTTTTTTCTAAAATTAAAAGCGATATAACATTGTTTGTCACACACCCATTCCCCTGTTTGTTTCTCCACACAACCCAGGTTTACTTTTGGGTGTGACATTTATTTTTCAATCCTTTCCCGCTTCTAACAGAGGAGATATTCCTCACTATATCAAATAGGACTCTTCAAACAGTGTTATTCAATTAAACAATGTTTATTAAAGTGTTCACAAGTAAATCATATAAAGTAGATCATGGATGGTCTTATTTTATTCATGCAATCAACTGTACTTTTATAACATTTATATTTGCTTAGATAGAATCATGTTACTTCAAGTATTTATTCATTTCACATCTTCTTCTCTATCTCTCTAATCTTCTCTAACACCAGACTGGTCCTAACTGCCCAAACTGCATCTCTCTAACTGAAGTCCCTAACTCATCCCTACTTCTTCCCTAACTGCGACCTAACTCCAAAACTCAGACTCTAACTGCTCTTTAACTGTCATCCATTCTTCTTAAATATCCTTAGTTCCGCCTCTTCTGTACAGCCATTGGCTCCTGAATCAGGGTTCCATTGTGATGGACAGGAGTGGTTCCTGACCTGTCCGTCACATTGTTACACAGTAGGACCACAATATTCACAGAGGATCCATTCCAAGCCCTCCCCCGAAAAACACAGAAGTAGCGAACGGTATACAAAGCATTGTCTTTGGCTACCTCCAGTGGCTAATTCTGGTAAATACACAGAGGAAATACGGATAAATATGTATTTCTGTGTTTTTTAATTTGATTTTTCAGGCAACAGATAATTGAATCTGTGGATGCTGATCCAGTGGATGGGGGGGGGGGGTTTTCCTGCTCTATTTAATCATTAGCAGGACATTGCTTTTTAGTTTTTTAAGAAATTAAAATGGCAAAAAATAGCCAGCCCCTTCAATTGCCCTTTAAAGAATGAATTAAACTAACATAAATTTCATGACAAATGGTAAAAATGAGATGTAGAACAGTCTAACCAATTATGTGCAGCAAAATAATTTTTAATAGAACATGTCGTTTGTAACATGTAGTTTGACTTCAAGGAAATTTTTCTTCAGATGAGGAAATGACTATGATGACTTAATTTTATCCTAAACTAGATTAAACTAGTTTGTATTTAATCCTAAACTAGAAGGTACAGGTTCCTCTGTGGATAGTGTGCCATGTGAGAAAGGGCATCTCGATTAATTTCTGTGAATGGAGCAGTTTCAGAGACACATGGTTTCCATCCAACACAATATTCTCAGATATATGTTTTTCAGTAGGCAGATTTCCACATTAATTCTGTTTTGCTTCCAGTGACCAATCACAAACTCTGCAAGATGTATAAGTGAGGAAAATCATGTGCTGTGACAAATGGAGGTCTTTCATTACTTGAGGGAGCACTTCTGAGAACATTAAAAAGATATAAACTATAGAATTTGATTCTGTGTGCATTGAATATAGTTTTTCCATTGAGTTTTCCAGAGAACCAGGGCATGCCAAGCGTTTCCAGTGCAATTCGATTCTGCCTGAGAAGATGGGTCACAGGCCTTGAGGCTTTACAGCATCTACAAATGCAGTTGTCATGTATCACCAGATTACTAGATATGCTAATTCAAGGACGACATCAGCAATTATTTCTTAATATAGCAAGCAGAGAATAAAAGTGCATTATGGACTATATAAGGGGTCTGACCATTTCTGTTAACCAAGATTTTTTTTGCTGATTCTTAAGGAGAAATATCTTCCTTTGGGCCCAGTTTTACAAAGTGCTGGGTCTTTGATGCTAGTTGAAGACAATAAGGGCTTTGACTTCCTCACTCGCTTATTATAAAACAAAATCTAAACTGAATCAACTGTAGAGGAGTGATGCTCTACTTCATAGGATTCAGGTCTGGCCCAAGTAAAGTGCGTGCTGAAACCCAGGATCTCTCTCTCTCTCTCTGTCTGTCTGTCTCTCTCTCACACACACACGCACACACACAAATCACAAATATTCAACATGCAAAAGCAAACTGGACTAACAGTCATAGCTTCCGTTGGCAATGGTAATGCTGTCTGAGTGCTAGCTGAGATTATGTAGGACAAGTTGAGTGGCAAACACAGTTCTGCTTTCAAACAGTGGTAATTTGCCAAGGAACTTGGAAGGAAAGCTTAGTGTGACACCAGTACGTACTACTCTTCTCCTTAACATAATGGTTCTTGAAACAGTGACTCTTGCTATCTAATATCATACCATATAAGATGTGGTTTGCTGATGTTGTATCTTCCATTCTGCCGTCCTAGTCTTCTGTTACAAATAGGAAGAGGTACGTAATTTCTTATAAACCATTTATATAAGGCAAGCTTCGGCACAAATGCAACAGCAGCAGCAACAAAATGACAGACCATGGTTTGCAGGTCAACTGAAAAGTGTTTGGAGTGTTCTACTTATAATGGAACTTAAACATTTCATTGGGTCCAGAAAAAGAAAAGGGGCCACAGTAAGCCCAGTTCTGTTTACTGGATCTGTTCATTTTGCATTTGAAAAAGCAGCATTTTAGCATTTCGTTAAAAACTGAGCAGTGGTGTACCCTTTCTTTCTTTAGCTAATAAAGCAGGGGGGGGGGAGAAGAGCATATTCCAAATGTCATATTTTAATGTAATCTTTCAGTTTTTATTTCATGTAATATGGAAGTTAAGACATGTAATTTTCCATGCTCTTTAGCATCTGACATACTGTGCTTTGTAGTATTCTGATTAATTCTCTTTGAGCTGGTTTTAGAGGATTAAAAGGTTAAAATTCAATTTCTCTTTTCTCTCTCTCCCCCTCCTCCACATTATTTTCTTTAAGTTATTTGTGTTCTTTTCCCTTCTTTACAGCTTTGGACATGGATGGAAGATCTTCAGAAGGAACTCTTGGAAGATGTCTGCGCTGACTCGGTGGATGCTGTTCAAGAACTCATTAAGCAGTTCCAGCAGCAGCAAACAGCTACCCTTGATGCTACTCTTAATGTCATCAAGGAAGGGGAAGATCTAATCCAGCAGCTCAGGTACGTTTATTACATTGCACCTGAGGCACAATTGAATAGAGGAGCATAGCTTAGAATATAAGGGGAGAATTTATCACTGACATGTTATTTTGTTTAGTATAGTTCAGAGTATTTTATTCTTTTTTAAAACTTCAGCAAATGATTTGCAGAGACTGATAAAAATAGCCTTAAATCACTTTGGACCCGCTGTGTGTAATGCATGAGAAGACCTATAGATAAGCTTAAGTGAGCATGATTAAGTAGTTAGTGTGTACAGTAAATGTTTTAAGTGGATATTTACAGAACATTGTTAAACAGAAGCCTGGTGATTTATGTGCATACTCCTGCTAAACAGCATCTATCCAGAAACCACTAAATAAAATGTAGTTTCATGTAGCATTGAACACAATATTTTATCACACCCAAAATTTTCGTTCTACCAGGAGCTATAGTGACAAGTAGAGCATTCCTCTTTTTCCCCAGATAATGCTTGCTTCTAGCACTTCCCGTTTCATTATGAATTAATTTTATACTATTCACAGTGCACAATGGATGAATCAATGGAATATCTTTGTTTCCTCAAGACAGCAGCATAAATGTTGCTCCTGTGTATTGCAGGTTTATGCAGTCAGCAGTGACTGGCTTTTGATTGGTATTGGTCTGGAAGTACCAATTTGTTTCTTTTTAAAAAGGTGATCCATTTTCACCTATTTGCAGTAGGATACTTTAAACTCTAGTGGTGGGGAAGCCCACATTCATAATTGCTAATTTTAAACATTCTTCTCTGTTTATCATCCTCCAGCAGTATCTCGTTTTACTGTTCTTCTTTTTGTTCCTTCTCTTACTGGAGAGCAAACATCACTGTTTCTATAAAGTCTTAGATTTGGCAGCCCTAAGTAAGGATAATCAGATCTCCAAATTAAAAAAACAAAACTGAATAACACCCAGATGATTCGAGCCCGCCAACCCACCACAGTAGTGAATACTGTTGCAATTCAGCAACCTGCATATTACACATTTAAGAGGAATTTTTAGCTGAGAGGGACTTTTCTGGACTGGGATTGCTGTCAGTAGCAGCCAGTTGTTCCCTCTTTACCTCAGATTCCTTTCCCCTCCCCCATTTTTTAAGTCAGTCAGGGTTCAGTGTTAGTTAGAAATGTCTGTGTTCTTAGGGTGTTAAGCGTTCGTCAATTATGGAGTCAGCAGTCAGAGTTTGGGTGAAATATTTATATAACCAGTCAGTTAATTAAATAATGAAGTTAACCAGTTAAGATCTCATGTAACAATTAAATATTTTATTTGCTTTTCTGTTATATGTGGAGATTTGTGAGTTAAAGAGAAACATTTTTTATTCTTTCTCAACACAAGAGTCTCTGACTGAATCTATTGAGACTATTTTGCCAGTTGAGGTAAAACTAACAACAATGGGTGGTATATGGATGAGTTTCAATTGTTGAGACTTGAGGATGTGGACAGGGTGCTTGGATCTGTCCGTTTTACCACAACTCCGCTCGACCCTTGCCCATCCTGGCTAATTAGAAGATCAGCCAGGGGGGTTCGCACCTGGGTCCAGGAGGCCGTGAACGCCTCTTTGAGAGAGGGAGTGGTCCCTACCGCCTTGAAAGAGGCAGTAATTCGACCACTCCTTAAAAAGCCAAACCTGGCCCCAAGGCTGGTGGCTAACTATCGAACAGTAGCGAACCTCCCTTATTTGGGTAAAGTGTTGGAGCGGGTTGTGGCTGGGCAACTCCAGGTGCTGCTGGATGAAACGGATTTTCTGGATCCATTTCAATCGGGTTTCAGGCCGGGTTTTGGTACAGAGACTGCCTTGGTCGCCCTGTATGATGACCTTTGCCGGGAGAGAGACAGGGGGAGTGTGACCCTGTTGATACTCCTGGACCTCTCAGCGGCTTTCAACACCATCGACCATGGTGTCCTTCTGGATAGGCTGGCTGGGTTGGGAGTTGGGGGCACTGTTTTACAGTGGTTCCGCTCCTTCCTGGCTGACCGTGTCCAGAGGGTGGTGCTGGGGGACAGTTGCTCTGCCCCATGGCAGTTATGTCATGGGGTTCCTCAGGGCTCAATACTGTCCCCCATGCTGTTCAACATCTACATGAAACCGCTGGGAGAGGTCAGCAGGAGGTTTGGGCTGAGGAGTCAGCAATATGCTGACGACACTCAGCTCTACCTCTCATTTTCCACCAATCCAGGTGAGGCGGTTTCTGTGCTGAACTCGTGTCTGGACCTGATAATGGACTGGATGAGGGTTAATAAATTGAAACTCAATCCAGACAAGACGGAAGTGCTGTTAGTGGGTGCTTCGCCAGACAGGCTGGAGGGCCATCTCCCTGCCCTGAATGGGGTTACACTCCCCCTAAGAGACAGGGTCCGCAGCTTGGGGGTGCTCCTGGACCCCAGTCTAACACTGGAAGCCCAGGTGGACTCAGTGGCCAGGGGCGCCTTCCTTCAGCTGCGGAAATTATACCAGCTACGGCCCTACCTGGACGAGCGGAGTCTCATGACAGTCACACATGCACTGGTAACATCCCGCATAGATTACTGCAATGCGCTTTACGTGGGGCTGCCTTTGAAGACGGTCCGGCGACTGCAACTGGTTCAGAATCGAGCGGCGCGGCTGGTGAGTGGGGGGGCCGCCAGAGAGCACATCAAGCCGATTCTGTATAATTTACACTGGTTACCAGTTGCTGTCCGGGCCCAATTCAAAGTGCTTGTTTTGACATATAAAGCCCTAAACGGCTTGGGCCCTGGATACCTGAAGGACCACATCCTTCCATATGAACCTACCCGTCAGTTAAGATCTAGCCAGGGGGCCCTTTTGAAAGAGCCATCCCTCAAGGAGGTAAGAGGGATGGCTTGTAGACAAAGGG